CCCCAAAACCCCAAAACCCCAAAACCCCAAAACCCCACGATCCGACAAATTATTGAAATTAAAGTTCTATTCTTTAGGGTCTTCCGAAGATGTCTCGGATTTATGTAATTCACTTGGCTCTTGTGATTTAGAATTTTCTGATTCTTTCGATTCTCCATTCTCGGAAGAATCTTGGAACGATTGTGATTTATTATTTTGTTTTGGGCTATTAGTTTCTGTTTGGTCTTTGTCTTGAGTGATCTTCTTTTGGAGTTTGGAGATAAACTTTCTTTGCTCAAAAATTACGTCTTCCAATTCCTTGATCTTGATCTTTTCTGTTAATGACATAATCTGGGGAGCCATGACGCTATGTCTATTTTTGCCTTGGCTTCTCAAAAATATCTTGATTTTTAATCTCTATATCAGACATTGCTGACTTTGACTCTTCGGTTTCTATAGATGTCTTCCTGTACTATACCTTTGGAATTGAAGAAGCTGTGGACTTGGTCCTGGTTCTCTGAGTCTTCTCCTTCGTTGTCACTTGATTTCTGGAATTCGTTTGATTTTGATTTGCTTTCTTCCTTCTTTGTATCTGTTTCAAGGTTTTTACCTCCTAAGTTTTCCTTTGGAGTTTGGCCTGTTGGATTGGTGGGTTCATTTTGGACGTCAAACATTGACGACGGGTTGCTAAATCCAGATGTTATGGGTATTGTCCATTGGATTGTAGTGGTGAACCTTTTGGATATGGGTTTTTGGGATACAAATGAACCAATGTAAGGGATTTAGACAATAATAGGGTTTTAGATGATTTAGGAGTGAAGGAGAAGAGCAGGGAATAAAATGGAGTTTACCATGAGTTATTGGTTGTGTGATTTGGCCCTTCAGGTTCTGTTTTATTTTGAGGGAGCATTATATCAACTTCAGATCCTTTTAGAGTTTGGATTCCAGCTAATTCCTTAATATCTTCATCTTTAAGTTCATCATATGGAAGACTATCTCGCTGCTCAGTATAGACTGGGTTGATATGAACAATCTCCTCTTCAGCATCAATACTGAGCTCAAGAGTATTGGCTGGAGTCAGTTTATTACCCTCATTTTTATGTTCTTGGGAACCCTCTACAAGCTCCTGCTGGTCATTCTGATTATTTTGGTATCCATCAGTTTGCTCTTGACTTGTAAGATGATTTGGCTGATCTTGATTAAGCTGGATATTGATCAAGTCATGGGTGTTATCACCCTCACTACCTAAAAACTGGCCTTCAATGAACTCCTTCCCGTCTAGAAGAGTGAATTCATCATAGTTCTGAACAGGAGGGCCCTTATTGGCCTTCTTGCCACTCTTCTTTCTAAATATGAGTATGGACATTACTTGGCCTTGTTCCTGGAACTTTTAGTTTTCGCTGGAGACAGAGATTTAGTCAAGTCGAAGTTGCGCTCGATTCTTTTGAGAGTATATTCACTTGCTTCTGAGAGAGCTCTTGAGATTGAAGCTTGTAGCTCATGCTTGTAGTCATGAAGGTTCTTCTTCGTTTTAGACCCTGGCTTGTTCTTGTTTAGAAACTTTAGAGCTGAGTAATTGGTCACGTTCTTGCACAGGAAAGATTGCTCTATAGGAGTTGATATGGCCAATTCTTTATAATAGCCTAGCTCTAGTTTAAGTTTGGATATTATTCTGTCTTTATTTCTTAATGTTTTTGTACATTTTTCGATATCCTATGGATGATCTTGGAGCTAGTTACTCTTTTATATATGCCGAACTCCTCTATATGAAGTTTTTGTCATTGTTGCTGGTGTGTGGTTGTGTTTCTGATCTTCTGAACACTTTTCTCGATCCATTCCCAGATTGAAACATCAATAGGGTTTGACTCTTTGTTTCTAACTTTATTTTTGAAGCTTACTCTGAACATTTGAGAAATCTGTGTAATTTTATGTCAATGTAATCCAGAAATTTATTTAAGTCAATATTGGATATCTACTTTGCCTTTTCTTGTTTCCTGGTCTGTTTGTGGAAGTAAATGCTTATAATGAGGGGTAGAGTTTTCAGGTTCTACGTCTTCGAGTTGCGAGTTCTTAGGATCTCCAACCTAGGCAATATTATCAAAAGAATACTCTATTTCCCTCAGAATGTTTTTCCATATAGTCCTGGAGACTATTTCAGATTCTCTTCGCTACTCAATTCTGGAGGTATCTCATCTGGAAGTAAGTTCCGAGAGATTGGTTGGTTAATTTCATCATTCTTGATCATATCTTGAATAGAAGTGGGTAATTCTTGAGTTGTCATAATGTCTATTCCATTCTTTCCATTGTTAAAGTTGTCTTCTTTAATATTTGAAGTCATATCTTCAGGAGTAAGATTCAGCTTCTCCTCAGTTTTATCAAAATGATAATGATTCTGTCCTAGCCTTAAGTCCTGACTTGTGGCTTCTTCTGAGTGTGTTGGATGTTGCAAAGTCTGTGTTGTTTCTTCAGAAGGCTGTTTGTACTGATGATGTTCAACCCTTTCTTGTATCATATTAATTTTTATTTCAATATCATAGAGATAGTAGGGGTTTTGGGGTTTTGGGGTTTTGGGGTTTTGGGG